TTTTATGTACTTGTTTGGGTCTTGTATTGTGTTCTATTGATCTATTGTCTATTTTTGGGCCAGTACCATGCCGTTTTTTGGCTATAGCTCTGTAATATAATCTGAGATCTGGTATGGTAATCTCCCCAGCATTGTTCTTTTTACCCAAGATTGCTTTGGCTATTTGGGGTCTTTTATGGTTCCATATGAATTTTAGGATTTTTTTTTCCTAGCTCTGAGAAGAATCCCATGGGTATTTTGATTGGCATTGCATTGACTCTATAGATTGCTTTTGGTAAGATGGTAATTTTCACAATATTAATTCTACCAATCCATGAGCATGGGAGTTCTACCTCCTAGTGTCTTCCTCTAGCTCTTTCTTTAAAGATTTAAAAGTTTCATTGTAGAGATCTTTAATGTCTTTGGTTAGCTTTATTCCTAAATATTTTTTTTAGGTTATTGTGAATGGGAGTGTTTCCTTGAATGCTTTTTCTGATTGCTTTCTGAAAGGCTACTGATTTTTGTAGGTTGATTTTGTAACCTGCCATTTTACTGAAAGTATTAATCATTTCTAACAGTTTTCTGATGTAATTTTTAGGATCTTTTATGTATAATATCAGTTCATCTGCAAATAGGGATAGTTTGACCTCTTCTTTTCCAATTGGTACTCCTTTAATTTCCTTCTCTTGTCTTATAGCTCTTGCAAGAGTTTCAAGCACTATATTGAAAAGGAGTGGAGATCGTGGAAAGCCCTGTCTGGGTCCTGATTTTAATGGGAATGCTTCCAGTTTTTCTCCATTTAGAATGATGTTGGCTATGGGTTTGTTGTATATAGCTTTAATTATGTTGAGGTATGCACCCTCAAGATGAACTTCTAGGACTTTTAACTTGAAGGTATGTTGGATTTTGTCAAAAGTCTTTTCTTCATCTATTGAGATGACCATGTGATATTTGTATTTAAGTTCATTTACATGTTTTATTACATTTATTGGCTTATGCATATTGAAGCATCTGTGGAATAAAGTTAACTTGATCATGGTGGATGATCTTTTTGATGTATATCTGAATGTGGTTCTCAAGTATTTTGTTGAGTATCTTTGTGTCTAGTTTTCTTTTTTGGTTGTGTTTTTACCTGGTTTTGGTATTAGAGTGATACTTCATAGAAGGGGTTTGGGAGTCCTCCCTCTGTTTCTTTCTTTTTGAATAACGTAAGCAGTATTGGTTGTAGATCTTCTTTGTCT